CAGCTGACGTCAAAATGTGGTTAGGACGAAACATGGCACAAGAGCCGTCAGGCCAGTGTGTCACTGATGTTCTTACCACATTTTGATGTCAGTTGTGATCAAGAGACGATGAGCTAATCTACTACTGAACAGACGCACGGCAGCATGGAATCTATCTGTTTTATAAAATAAAGAAACAGCAACGTCAAATATACGTCTGTCTTCCAAAACGTCAAAAGTAAGAATTTTGTTACCAGCACTGTTCTCCCGAGTCACAGTAACACTGCGGTTGCACAAGTCAGTCAAAAATATAACGTTTAGGAACGTATTCATAATAAAAAGTCATATACGCATTATCCAGAAACACTACTGTTAGGACGTTGTGATATTTTCAACATTTAATTAAGTTATTGCAAAGTGTGTACACAAAAAAGAATTTCTACATTTCGGCTTGTGAGGGCCAGGATTGTTATAGATAGTTGCGCACCTTTATTATAGACGGGTTTTTTTTTAATTTGCCTGTCCGAGGCTGCCGAAAAATGACTTAAAGAGGATTCTAAAATTCTAACATACAGTTAACGTAGTTTAATAAAATAATGGGCACACCTCGACGTTAATTTGCCTTTATTTAATTTTCCAAATTATTCTCATTCTAAAACAAATACCTTGTTTGGAAAATTAAGATTTTAGCATTGTACCACAGGAGGCCAATTTACCAATTTACCAATTGTACCTTTCATAGGCATTCTGGCTTGATTTTGTATTAATTTCCGTTAGTAAAATGCAAGATGGTGAATCGAAGATGGCGGGTCAAACGACGTCATTTGACGTCGTATGACGTCACAACCAACTAATATGGTATCATTTTGTAGAGCAAGCTCAGGAATTTCTAATCAATGTAATTTTATTTCGCTGTGCCTTGACAGATCGAAAACCCCAGGGGGAGTGTCCATCCATCTCCCTCCCTGTGGCACGGTAGGGGTATGAGTTAGTTTGTACGTCCGAGGGTTAACAGCCAGCATGTAAGAGAGTATAAATAGAAGGCGTGCGAGTAGGTAACAATAATCCATTTAATTTCCAAATTTCTTTAACTTTAAGGCAACGTGGATAAATTTTAAAACGCAGCTTTATTTCTACGTTCGGTGAGTTGTCTTAAGTTCCGCCTAAAAGCAGTTGCTGAAATTGGCTCATCATAAGGTTTGGATTATGAAAAAATACCATATTTAACATGAGAGTTTTCCAAATGATTATTAAGTACCAAGAAAAAACTGAATTATAGTGTACTGCGACTAAACCTTGGCTGTACAGAAGAAACTGTCGGCAAACACGTGGGAATGTCAGAGTTATTTGGCAGCTCTTTTTGTTTATTTTGCAATGCGCGAAAAAAGCGATGCCAAATCCTGGCCCTTTTTTATTCAATATATTTTTTTCGAATCGCTATTTTTGCGTAGCCCTTTGTGCTAAATTTAACTTATGCAAATTGTAGACAGCTGACGTCGAGAGTGTTTTCTCAGTTTACGCTAGAGATAAAGAATTTATTTTTACGCTTTGCGTTGCTTTTGCTGTTTGCAATGGCAGGATTGTGTCCGCTCTCGGCAGTTACAGGTGTTA